TCGGGAGCTTGATTCGATCTAAACAAGAATCCATAGTCACACATATAATTATGATGTTAGTATACTCACTAACCTTTATACTTTTAATAATACTCAAAAGTACTATTATTTTCAATTTTTATTAAAATTCATCCTATCTAAAAATTCCAGGTTCAATTGTATCGGTACCCCTACTATGGTATTGATACTTATATACTATGGTATCGATACTCCCTTTAATATCGATACCATTTTTTCATTCTGGATTCCATAGTATTGATACCTTCCTCTTAGTATCGATACCCACAGTAGTATCGATACTAATTGCATCAGTATTGATATTGTTCATCCTATTTCCTCAAATTTAAACCTATAGTATCGGTACTATTCTTCTAGTACCGATACCCTTACCCAAATTTTTTATGTTTCATTTCGATTTTTACCCAATTTTTTTTAAATCTCTTACTTTAATCATTAACCATACCATTAAATTCATCATCACTTAACCCAACTAATTTTCCTCCATTAATCTCCCTATAACATCTAAAATCTCTAAAGAACACTCTCAACCAAGAATCACACTACTTTTTCATACATGTTTTTTAATCACATCCAATGCTTCTAATCTCTCATTTACTTCTTTGACAAGTCAATTTACTTGTAAACCTTAATAAAAACTCATATATCAATATATAACTTAAAACCCCATTTTCTTAAATCTCAAATAAATCCTTCATCTTTTAGTTTTAATCCTCCTTGAACTTTCCTTAAGCCTCTATAACACTTAAGGTTTCAAAACCAACCCAAAAATGAAAAGAAACACCAACATTGAAGAATCCTTACCTTGGCTATGGAGGGCACAAGACTACAGGGAAAAAGAAGAGAACCGCTTTGACTTATCCCCCCTTATTTTCTTTATTAAATATCCTTAATAATAATGAATATTAAATTCATTTCCCTCCAAATGACCATAATGTCCTTCTATTCTTCCATTCTTACTAATTAGTCTTAAACATAATTTCCTAAATCATTCCCTATACTTTTCAAACTACTCACTTCAACCCACCAAAATTTTAAATACTTTCACTATGGTCACCGAACCGATAATTGGGGTATTACAGTCGTGCTCTTTGTCTCTTTTCGATCAAAACCCGGTAAGAATTGTCGCCTCACCATCACTGCTCCATTCAACCATCATGGGTAAGTCGTCGGTCACTTTTATAGGTTTTTCAATTATGTTTTTGGTTGATTATTGATGTGGTTGGACTGATTTCGTCAAATGCATGAATAGGGCGTAATCGGCTGACCACCCCGAGGCTTTCGCCGTTGTCATGTGCCACCACGCGTCGTCGTATGCGCGTTGGACTTGATTTGGCCTTGGGAAATTTCTAGAACTGGGTCTGGTTGACCTGACCAGTCTGACCCAACTAGACCCGCTTGACCGACCTAATCGTGAGTCAACTTGGTTGAGTTAACTCACTGATTCAACTCGTCTGACCACCCGAGGCTTTCGCCGTTGTCATGTGCCACCAGCGTCGTCGTATGCGCGTTGGACTTGATTTGGCCTTGGGAAATTTCTAGAACTGGGTCTGGTTGACCTGACCAGTCTGACCCAACTAGACCCGCTTGACCGACCTAATCGTGAGTCAACTTGGTTGAGTTAACTCACTGATTCAACTCGTTGACTTTGATAGATTCAACTCGTTGACCGTTGATCGTTGACTGGTCTGACCGTTGACTTTGACCTATCATACCGTTGATCGTTTACTTTGACTTTGACCAAAAAGTTAACTTTTTCAAAAATGTATTTTTTAATGTTTTTCGACGTCCTGAGTTCGAATCTGAAGTCTGTTTTGCCAAATTTGAACCCAGTAAGATGTTTTTCACTGATTAACCACCCGATTCGAACCGTTTTTCGTAATTAAGATTCGTTTCTGATGAAATTTCTATTGTTGTGTATCTGAGGAATTATTGGATGTTGAATTTAAGTTTGAGGGTGATCGAATGGAGATTAAATAATTGATCGATATAGCATAGAAACTGAGGTAATACATTACTACCTGTTTTATGCATCATGGAACATATTGGTATTGATTTATTCATGGATGAGTATAATTGGTCACATATATTTAATTGTCACTTCCTAAACTCAATCCGAATATTATAAAAAGTCGACAACCGAATATGACTTATATGGATTGCATAAGAAAGTGGAATATTAATCGAAAATAATAATAATAAGTTCGGTGATTCAATAATAATTAATTTAATTTTAAGATCCGTGAATTTTGATAAATTTTCTTAAAGGTTAAATATCGGGGTTATTTGGATATGAAATTACCGAAAAGAGCATCATGGGATAAAATTAGGAAAATGCCCTTCCAATGGAAAAAGACCAAGACTTCCCCGGATGGTTAAAAATAACTCTGAAAGGACGTACTTGATTAATTATCAGAGAAACTGCATATGATTCAATTTAAAGGAATTATTGAAATGTCCTCGAGCTTTGTAATAACTATAATAACTTCCAATAATCAAAGGAACAAAATACCAGGAATGCTAAAGGAACTAGATTTAATTCAAGCATAATTTATCGAAAGTATTCCACTAACAGAATTGAGTGGAATGATGATGATACATTTAAAGTGTAAAAAGCACAATGGATTACTATGATAAGGGAAACGACCTAAGAACTTAAGTTTTGTTCCACTTAAACTTTTGAATCATTGAATTAAATTTTGAATCTATATTAGAATTATAAAATGACCCTAAAGTGTAAAATGACCAAAATGCCCCTAAAGTGTAAAATGACCTAAAATGTCTCAAAGAAATGGAATAACGAAATACCTTCAAGCTCTAGAATGATTAAATCGACCTAGAATACCAAAATGACATTATTATATGACCAATTTGAACTAAATGGAAGTACCATATGTATCTAAATTTTGAAAACATCTGAATTACTTTGGAAAACTTCGAAGTAACTGGATGGATTTAACTACTAAATGACCTAAATACCCTCATGACCTAGAAATGAGTGATTGTTATTTGATAAATTCTGGAAATGCCCAGAAAACCAGAGTATTGTATCGCTCCTAAAGGTTGAAGAGTATGTCTCAAGTATGTTGGTCATCTTGGCGATTGTTGCATTTCATAAATTGAGCTAATACCATCGGAATAAGTAGTGTTCCTTAAGCTTCGTTCAACAATGATTTAGAAGATGATCAGTTAGAGTCAATCCAGTATCTTAATAAATTGACATGAATCTTGAATACCATGAATCATCGATTCATCCTTATTAGATTAAGTTGCTAAGAATCCACTAAATATCATAATGTCTAAAATGTCCTTGTTGGTCTGGATAATGGAATCACTCTCAGTGAAATTGAATCTTGAATTATTATGATGTAAAGGTTCTTGAACACATTCTTGATGCACCTGAACAATAAAGGGGTCCTACAGTATCAACTTTAAATGTCTTATAGATCCGTTAGTAACCGATCCTTTTCAATAGAACCTCGTTCCTAAAATCCGATAAAATTACATAAGTTTCATGTTTTTCATTCCTACCAATTACAAAGTGCCTCTGAAAAATTCTTGAATCCCTTAGTGTGTTCCCGATTTACGAAATCATAGAATTTACTGATTTATGAATTATGATTTTTGTTTTCATTGGTTATACTTGAACTGTTTTATTGGGACTTTATCTGGGTAGGTTGAAGATTCAGCTTTGATCAAGCTGGAAAATCCTTACGGACCAAAGATGACCCTTGGGTAGGCTCTGAGGCCCCGAGAAACTTTCTTGGGTAGGATCTCATGCCCCAAGGCACTTCCTTGGGTTAATCATGGGACTATATATGGCGTACAAATGGAGGGCAATTATATGGTTTTTTTCATCGTCACGTTTACAAGATTGTACTAGATCACGTTCCAGATATTATGGTTTATTGTTATAACTGATTTCTACTGGATTTTATATAGGTAGAATTATAGAGTATGGAGGATCAGCCTTGATCCAGCTGATAAATCCTTACGCACTTAAGGCGACCCTTGGGTAGGCTCCGAGTCCCCGAGATCATTCTTGGGTAGGCCCCGTGGCTCCGAGTAACTTTTTTGGGTAGGTTATTGAGCCCCAAGACATTCCCTTAGGGTGGTTCCCTTTGTTGTATGCTTAGGGTAAGCCCTTATGGATGCAGTTATAGGGAACTGCATAACGGTGTAAGGTTGGAGGGTTCCATTATTGTTTTGAAACATGTTTTATGCAGTTACTGTTTTAAAAAGATTTATATATTTTCACTGGTTTTGGTTGGAACACACTAGACACACTTTTCTGATTTCCTGAACCTGGTTCTCTGAATGCTTCCTCTAAACTGAAATCTTTATGCCTGTTACTAGGAGAAATATCAGTGGAACTATAGTTTATCCTGAAAATATGTATACGTCTGAGTCAACAAGGAAATTTTATTGCTTTCCATTTGTTTACATGTCTTGTAGCATCAATTGTTAGTTTTGTATTACTGAGCTTCCTAAAGCTCACTCTTTTACTCACCATTTTGGGTTAAAAGAATCAAACCAGGGCAATTATCGACTTCAGTAAAGGAGTTCCACCGGCATTACTGCGGAGTATGGTGCATGTGATTAGGGGGCATGTATCGTGTATTTTATTTTTACATCCGAGTCAGATATATGTTTTATTCCTGAATATATTTAAATTTTACTTTTTTATTTATAAATTGATTTACGATTTTAAGTGTTTTAACAAAAATTTTAATTTTTTTTGGGATTTTTACGGTGGGTCGCTCCGGTGGCCCTAATGTGACACCCCAGATAGGATCGGGCTACCCATATCGGTCTGAGGGGGTTACAGTTCATCAGGTGCAAAATTTGGTGTTATGAAATGACACAGATAATACATTCTTTAATTGTCTACTATGGAAGTTAACATTAGCAATTTGGTTATTGAGCTACTTATAAAAGTTTTTATCATATTGAGACACTTCCTTTGTATTTGATTTAAATTTAATTCATCCAGGTTTCCTTTCTCCAGATTACCTCAGAAATTAGGAAAGGGAAGTTCTTCTGTTATCCTTATTAAGGGTATTCCAACATGCAAGAAAAATGGTGCAAAGCTTGCCATGAATAACTTGAAGGACTAAAAAATTTGATCAATAGGATCAGTCAAGATCTCACCAAAAAAACCAAAATAGTTATTTGAATCTTCACAAAAAAGCTAAAATAGTTACCATCACCCTTTCCCAAAACCAAAACGACCATCCTCACCTCTGGCCAGTCCATTAAAGCAAGCCAGAGGTGCATATAGTGGAGAGAAGAGGGGGTGAAAAAGGGAATATGTAAGTGTCGCTCTAAGCATAGATTTTGTTTAACACACCCCCGTAGTCTCCTTAGTTTAGGCCCAATGCAACCACAACCAAAGCAGCGACCCAAACATATGGTTGAAAAAGTTGGCCAACCCCTCTATCTAACATTATTGCACTTAAGGGGATCGATCGTGTGTTGGAGGAAGCACTAGTAAGCTACGATAAATCAAACTGCGGATGACGCAACCTTAAAGAAGGACATGGAAAAGCAGTAAAAGCTTCCACAACGACTACGAGTACGTAAAAACAATTATGGTCATACATGTTTTTGACAAGAATACCTCTACGAGAAACTATGAGAAACTTTCAAAGTACATCTTAATCATGTACAAAAAAAAACCCCTCTCCTAGGATAACGTGTAATATTTTGAAAAAAAGTAATGTATACAAACATTTTGACATCTCCGTATGGCTTTCAAATCTCCTAGAATATTCTTTATTCTCCGCCGTAATGCCATGACGTTAAGTTGCACCTTCACTTTGCTGTGGGGATACCCCTCAAAAGAGACGAGATAACTCCAAATGCGAGAGAAGCTTCTACCCATTAACTGCTGAAACATTGAGCTACCTTCGTACACACTGACCGTGAGTTGCCTAAGGGGTCTAGATTCCTCTGCTTCGACATTGAGATGTCTTTTTCTTGGTAATACCATGGCAAATAAGCATTGGTTTTACCTACGGTGTATGGTATGCATAAAGACACATCCGCTCCCACTACAATGTTCTACCGAAAATTGAATAACCTCCTCTACTTGGTTGAATAAGGATTAAGATGCCTCGCGTTCTTCTCAGGCAGATAGGATTATGTCTTGAACACAGACTAAAAACTTAAGAGCCTCCATTTTAGCGTCGATATGACTTTGCCACTACAGCAAAATAGGTATATAATGGCATTTTTCGCGGCGTTTTCAAAGTAAACGCCACTAAATTTGTACATATCGCGGCGTTTATATCCAAAACGCCACTAAATGGTAACATTAACGGTGTTTTTCAACAAATGCTGTTAAAACTCGTACTTTAGTGGTGTTTTTAAATAAACGTCGCAATACAGTACATATATTGTGGCTTTTTTAGACAAACGCCGCTAAAACCTAGTACTATAGTGGCCTTTTAAGTAAAACCGCCGCTAAAACTCGTACTTTAGTGGCGTTTATTCGACAAACACCGCTAAAGTATCTTTAGCGGTATTTGTTTGTTTACAAAACGCCGCCATAGAATCGTTCCTTAATGAAGTTTTTAAACAAATGTCGCAATAGCGTACATATATCGTGGCATTTTTAGATAAACGCCACTAAAACCTAGTACTTTAGTGGCGTTTTAAGCAAAAATGCCGCTAAATACTCATACTTTAGTGGAAAACCTATTACTTTAGTGGCGTTTACCCTTTAACCCTTTCTCATTATTTTCCCCTTAACCTATTTTTTCATTCCCGCCGTTTATCCAAACCCATATGATGCTTCTTCGCCGATCTCACTTTCTCTTCGATGAATTTGTTGTTTCTTCTTAAAGCTATTGAAAATTTGCAATAAACGCAATCAGACAGATACCCAAAATCATTCGAGAGTTTCCTCGACTGCTCAATGAAGAAACTAAACACGAAGCCAGAATATCCCACTTTTCTCTTTTAATTTACTTCTTACTTCCCAAAATCTGGCAGCCATAGAAGTACTGAGGGCTCGTTCATCATTTAAACCTGAAATCTTTGATATTAACAGCAACAACGAAGCGTGTAGGCCTTGGCGTCACAGGTTGTCAATGGCTTTCACCTGGTGTTCCTCTCTCAGAATCACTCTTCTTCTCCTCCTTCTTGCTGCTATCGTTTTCGCTTGTTTCACCTTCCCCGTTGAAATGGTTTGGGTTTTCTAGCTTTTTACATGTTTTCTTGATCTGGGTATATTTCTTTTCTCTTGTTTATTCTTTATTTTGCCTTTTTCTTTTGGTTTTCTAATATGGGTACTTCTTGTTTTCTCCTTTTGGATTGATAATTTGATTTATTTATTGATTTTCTGGGTTTTTTTAATCCAGGCAAGTTTGTTCCTTTTTTATAAGATTTTTTGGATTTTTCTTGTTTCTTCCGTTTTGCTTGTTGATCTTGGACCTTGGGGTCCACTTGTGTTGGAAGTCACATTGAAATCCCCCTGTAATTTCTTTACGCTTCCATTAGCATCTATTTTTGTGTTTACTTTATGCATTGCATTTGATTTGCTATTATACCAATCTCATAAACTAAATATATATTGTTCATTGCTGTCAAGACATTTTTCAACTAATTAGTTGTGAATAAAAGTATCATAACATTTTTCCTTTCAACTCATATTTCTTTGTTGACTTGCAGGGCTATTGCTTACATTCCTTTGACAGTCTTGGCGGTTCTAGATTCAGTGCTTACTGTAAGCATTAAACTCCTTTACTAATGCTTCATTGTAGCCAAATCATTGCCATTTTTTAGTATGAATTCCTTTCTTGTTCATGATATTTTAACTTATCATTCGTGTCTCCCTCGTATGATATGGAGTAACAATCCAAGATCTCGCATTCATTCTTAGCGATTGCCTTCTGTAGACCATGGATGGTGCCCTGCCCGTGCAACTTACTACTATTTTAGGATTTAAATCCATTCCAATTAGTTCTTATTCCAGGAATGAAAGTCTATGTCACTGATAAGAAGGAAATTATTATGGAACCATCATTAAAGTGGGCGGGGAATCCTAACATAGTTAATTATCACACTTAAAGCTTTTGGATTGAAAGCCACTGTTCAGGTATTTTATAGTGTACTGGTTCATTAAAATAAAGAAATATGCATTTCAACACAGAAGAGAATGTGTATACATTTTGTCCATCTCTCTTATTAATAAATATATGTGCATCAATAACAAAATGGTTCAACGAGATCTAGATGGAAATCGATGCTTCAAGTGATGAGCATTAACTTTTTATTTTCTTCCCAATCTTTCATAATCATAATTAATTATAGTTAATTTTGGTAAGTAGCTTATATTTCATAATTTTCATTTGATATTTTATATTAAAACAAGAAAATTGTAAGATTTCTTTTATCTTCTTGTGGAAAATTCACCATTAACAAATGTAGAAAACCTTTGTATCTGTTGTTTATCTTAATTAGAGACAAGTACAACCCTTTTCTAGGTTCATAACAGTTCTATGAATTATGCGCTCCTTTCTTTCAAAGTGCTTATATTTGTCTACTTGAATGGTTTATTTAATGTCCCTAGGTTTTCTGTGACCGATAATTTTTGGCTTTCAACTAACTATGTAAATTATACAATTTGATTCAACTAACTTCTGTCAAACTTCCTGTTCTAGGACATGGCGAGGTTTATAAGCCATGAATTGGAGATTAAGCTTAAGGAGTAATGAAGTGGGCTACCTCCAAATGTAACGCATTTTTTCTTTCCCATTTTCTGTATGACGAGAACTTTGAGTTTTATCACTAGTTCACTACTAGTGCTGGTTGTAAATGGTATGTTTGTGTGGTATAGACTACAAATTGTTCTTTCCCATCTTAGGTGTTATTATTGTTTATTCTAGTTAACAATGGTGAACTACATTATATTTTACGTAATTTAAACTTTGATTTATTATTATGAATTTCAAGTTTCTTGTTATAGATTTCAAGTTTGTGTCTTAATTAAAATTTATGGTTGTTGTTAATTAGATAAAGCTAAATGGTATTAAATTTAGGTGCTGTAGAGCATAAATTAAATATGCAAAATCAATTAATATTAACTAATGAAAGGTAATTAGCGACATTTGTATTTAAAAAATGCCGCTATAGGTCTGACCTTTTGCGGCATTTGCTTGAAAAACATCGCTATAGATCTGACCTTTAGCGGTGTTTGTTCCAAAAACGCCGCTATAGATATTAATCTTTTACGATGTTTATTCTAAAAACGTCGCTATCGATCTGACCTTTTACGGTGTTTGCTTGAAAAACGCCACTATAGATCTGACCTTTAGCGGCGTTTGTTCCAAAAACGCTGCTATAGATCTCAACCTTTAGCGGCGTTTTTTTTCTCAAACGCCGCTAAATTTAGCGGTGATGGTATGGCCGACGCTTCTTGCGTCGTTTTTTCTATAACCACGATTACTTTTAGCGGCGCTTAAAAACGCCGCTATAGGACTAAAAATATGCCGCTAAAACTCTATTATGCTGTAGTGTGTCTTGTTTTCACTATGGCAAAGATGTCTTAGTTTTACCTATAGTGCATGAAGCACATTGAGATTCATCTTCACCCACCGTAGTGCGCTATTGTAGACCAAAAAGCCTCATCTACTTGACCAAATCACATTGGATTCCTTGCGCCTTTCTCAGATTGACGAGATTATGTACCAGACTCGGCCGAAAGAGTTGAGAGCCTCCGCTCTGACAAATTGTTGAGATGTCCTTACCTAAAAAAAATAATGATATACCTCTAAAAACCCGACCAAAGTAGCGATCCCTCTCATTCTTGCTGATACATTGTGAGCCACCTCTAAAGAGTGTCGAGATGTCTCCATTTTAACGTTGAGATACCTTCGTGAAGGCAAAAGGAAAGTTGGCCCTTCCTCTTTAATTATCACATCGAAGAAGATGCCTCACCCAGATTATCATACCTATTTGGGGACGTTGAGTTGTCCTTTCATCAAAGAAGGGCCCAACAAAACATTTCCCATAGTCATACGATTGACCAAAAATTGAAAGATTCTCCAATTCACCTTGGTAACATCAAAAGACTAGCATATTCCTCCGAATCCCCCGCGTGAAACACCACATCCCGCGATTACCTCCGAACAAAGATTTGAGAAAGTAACCTGAATAATATCTTAGCTCTAACAGAGAAAACTTTGGAAATTTCCACACTAGCACATGATGGTGTGTCAAGAAGCCATTCCCTTGACTGTTGGCTCAGAAAAATCTTTATCTCTAACTCTTTTATAAATGTCAACGACTCAGCTAGAAAAAAAAATCTCCACTTTGACGAAATGTTGAGATGCCCCAACCCTAGAATCGAGGAAATACCTTCAGAAGCAAAGTAAGGACGCCTCCCGCTCTTGTTGAGACATTATAGAGTTGCCTCTAAAGAGTGCTGAGTTGTCTTTGCTACGACGTCGAGATGCCTTTGCCTTGGTAAGGGAAAAGTTGACATTCCCCCCACTTGTATCACGACAAAGATGCCTACCCCCAGCCACTCGAATTCTCCAAGGATGTCAAGATGCCTTTTCTTTGGCCAAAAGACCGGAAAAATCCCCAACCCATTTCCTATTACAACTCTATCTCTGCCACCGAGCGATTGACAAAAGAATTGAGAAGTCTCCACTGTCTATTCACAGCATCGAGACATGAACATAATCTCCCCTATCATATAGAACATATATGTGCAATGAGCAAAGGGAGCCTTCACACGAAAAAACCCTCTACGACCAAAAATGGAAAAGATACTTCCACTAAGACATAACGTCGAAGTCCCCTGCCAGGTAGTAAGAGAAACCTTTGTTCGTAGTCAAAATAGGAGCATCCAAATACCTCCGAACCAAACCTCCATCGTAAGCGTTGAGATTCATCGCTCCTCTTAAGGATAAATCGTATGAATAATATAACACTTTCGTGCATAGTGTTAAAAACCATTGCATAGAGAAAATCGTGCTACTAAACAAGACAAAAATGTATCCACTGTACCATAACAATAAGAAAACACTAGGTTTTAAGAAACGCAACAAAGTATATCGGGAGTGTAGAGGAACTTTTTCACCTAAGCGTCGTGAACTATGCATAAAGAAGTCTCCACGCCTTGATGTAAACCTTCGCACCTAGCGCTGAGGGTATTCAGTAGAGACGCCCCCTTATCCTCATATACACATTCGCATTTAACGTTGAGATCTTCCGCTGAATAGTTTAGGAAAATCCTCCGCATAGGCATTTAGTAAAGAAATCTCTAATTGCATTCACATCGAAGCACCAAAACACCCCACGAGAAGTTAACCTTTTCTCGTTTTCATTTCGATACCATTGTTACTTAGGGTGTTGATCGATTTCACTTTACGGAGTGTCTGCGAGTCACTATGCTCAGTTGAAATATGAAGTGTGGGATACTATTCTTAATGATTCAGAAAAGTAGGGTGGTCGTAGAAAGTCTCGTGTTCAAATGAATGAATTTCCTGATGTTCTAGTACAAAACGGTTTGTTTGATTGTAAACCTTCTAGAGGATTGTTCACATGGCACTGTGGCAGGGTGACTAATCCGACTATTGGGGAGCGATTTGATAGATCTTATCTGAATTATAAAGTATTCAATGAATTTACTGAAAATCATATCATTGCTATCTGATCATGGACACAGCATGGACAAGGCAGTATAATGGGCCATCTCATGGTGATTATTTTCGGTTTGAATGTAAGTTGAATGTGGTTGATACATGGAATTACTCTCATGGTAATGTTGTCGAGAAAATTAAAGTGGTTGGAGCCGCTCTTAATGATTGGCAGCATCCCAGAAACGTATTAAGAATTTGCTTGATAATTCTTTTGGCTTCAATGTTCCAGGGTTGCATGGCATCTTTCGTTTGCCGAGGTGGCCAAGTTTATTAATAAAAAACTTCATCTGAAGAGTTTGCTTGATAAAGAGGAGGTCTTTTGGCTTCAATGTTCCAGGGTTGCATGGGTTTCTAATGGTAACCATGATACGTCTTATTTCCATGCTTGGGCAAGCGGAAGGAGGAAGAAGAAATTTCTTCGTGGTATTTTTGACGATCAGGACAGTGTAGGAACGGTAAACATGACCTCAAGAATATTATTGTTAATTATTTTTTGAAGTTATTTACTTATTCTAATCCTGAGATTGATGATTCTATTCTTGTTGCCATTGAGCCTGTAATTTCTAATGAAATAAATAATACTCTATGTATGGATTTTACTAATGACGAGATTGTTGCAGTTTTCAAAGCCATTAATCCTCGGAAAGCCTCGAGAATTGACAGGCTACCTCTTAGCTTTTGTCATTTGCATTGGGATCTGGTGGGACAGGATGTTGTGAATTTGTGTTTTCAGCTTTTTGAGATGTGACCTGTATATGGGTTTGATGAACAAGATTGTTATTGTTCTAATCCCCAAGGTGTCTGATCTTACTACTCATACGAAGCATCTTCACCCTATTAGCCTCTGCAATGTGGTATACAAGATTGTTTCTAAAGTGCTTGTTTGTCAGATGAAATGTCTCATGTCAAAGTGTAACAGTGAGAATCAGGCAGCTTTCCTCCCTCGTCGACAAATTTTTTACAACATTCTGGTGGCCCATGAAATCCTTCCTTATATGAACTCTTCCAAGAATGGTATGAATAAAGGTGTTGGGCTTAAGTTAGACATGGAGAAGGCTTATGATAGAGTTGAGTGGTCCATTTTTAGAGTGTTATGCTGAGACTGGGTTTTTTTTCTACATGGGTTTATCTCATTATGCGTTGCGTTGTGTTGGTTACCTTTTCTGTTCGAGTGAATGGGTGTTTTTTGCAAGAGTTTAAGCCCACCAGGGGCTTAAGGCAAGGGGACCCGTTGTCTCCCTTCTTTCTCTTTTTGCACGTAGGGTCTCTCTACTTTGCTGCATAGTTTACAGAATCAAAGGAGGATTTAGGGTATTCGTGCAAGTCAGAATTGTCCCCGAGTCACTAACCTTCTTTTTGCTGATGATAGCGTTATTGTCATCAAGAACTCTATTCAGGAACCTGAGTAGGTTAAAAATGTGTTGCATGTGTATGAGTCCTTTGGGTAGATGGCTAATCTTGAAAAGTCTGTGTTGTACTTCAGTCCTAGCACTATTCAGTCTCGCTGTCATAAGATGTTATATATCTTTGGTATTGGTAAGGTTAATGACAATGGTCATTATCTTGGTATACTGCTTCATATCGGGAAGAACAATTGGGCATCTTAAAGATAGGGTGTACAATGACATTGAGGGTTGGTCTAAGTAGTTTATTTCTTATGGGGGTCGCGAGGTTTTTCTCAAGGTCGTTGCCCAAGCCCTTAGTATGTGATTTCGTGTTTTCTTCTTCCTGATGGTTTGGCGCTATTGGTGGTAATGTGATGTTTCTAAGCGTGGCTAGCCGTTGGTTGCGTGAAAGGCTATGTGTAAGCCTAAACGCGAGGGTGGCTTTGGTTTTTGTGACCTATATAGTTTTAACATTACTCTTCTAGGTAAACAAATTTGGCATTTTATTAAGGATCCTTACAATTTAGTAGCTCGTGTCTTCCGTGCAAAGTTGTAACAGCCCGTATATATATCCTAATACGAGTTAAAGATGTCACATCAACTCAATTGATATTTGTTGAACTTAAATATTTAAAAATTTTGTTTCATTTAATAATTTCTTTTTTAACTTTAAAAACTTCTTCCTTAATCATATAAATTTATAAAATATTGTTTGATCATTGAAACTAATCCAATTTCA